CTCACACGTTGATGAAAGATGACTAAACTGTCAAAAAGCTCCACTCTGTGCTGATGCTGCAGTGTGTGGCTTAATTTTGGCCAGCTGTTTCAGACTTTTTTTTCTTAGTTCTTGTTCTGGAAATTTGCCACTAGTCTGACAGTTGACTAAATAATGCTTATACATCTCCCTGTTGCTTCAGCAGCATCTAGTGATTCTGTCATTTTTAAGAATCTCTGCTAAGAGTTAAATTATATTAACAGTTACATCTCGTTCAAGGTATCTACTTGTGTTTTTCAGGAAAAGAAAAACCTGATGTAAAATATATACATTTAAAGTCTGTATTTCTTTTGCTGTACTTTATGTTGAGTAAGAGGATTATTCATACTGCGTTACAGGTTTTGCAAACGCAGCTCGAGAGCTTGCCCTGTGCTCCCAGTAAGTTCTGATTCTCTAGGGAAGAAGTTTCTTGGTGTAGAAATTGCAATTAAGGGGGCTTAAAGTGAATTATCTAAACAGGAAGGGACTTGACATTCAAATAACAGTTTTTATTAGGGCAGTCTCTTCTTAGCAGTGTTTATTACCATGTAGGGTGTTTATGGAGAATGCATAAGCTTGTGGTATTCGTATGTTTTACTGTTCTGTAGGCAAAATAAATATCTGAAAGATTTGGTATATTCTTTAGTTGTGTTATAGCTGGGTATGGAATGAAGTAATAGGTAAATAGTGGGAAAATAATAGTTCTAGAAACTTTGTCTGCTATGTTTAAAAGATTTGCTCCCCAAGTGTGACTTTTGCTCAGAGACTTTTGCTTTTATTTTTGAGTGCTGTGTATGAAGAAACAGTGGTGCAACTGTAACAGAAGCTCCATCCACCCACTTCTTGTTTACAAGATCGAGTAAATACCACATGTGTGCCTGTTGCATATTTTTTGCTCATCCAAAATGCTCAGTGAATCTTTTTCTAACATCTGTCATTCTTCACTCTTTCTGAACCAGTAGATGATTTCATTAAAACACTGATGACTAAATGAGGGCTAATATGGCCACCTGATTCTCTTCCAGAAAAGGGAAATGCTGCAATCCATTTCAACTATAGAAAGTCTAAATGAGTCTTTCTGAAAATTGCAGTCTAGCAGCTTGTTTGCTGCTATGAAAATATTTGCGATTGCCTTAGCATTCCCCCAGCGTGTTACTTGGCATCTCTGAGACGTGGAGGTGATGGCAAGCTCCCTTTGGGGGCTGTTTGCATTGCTGTTTTTCAGTGTCTATTGTGGGTATTTGAAAGGTGTTTTTTTTTTTTTTTTTTTTCTTTTTTTGATCTTGTTTTCTTGGCCTGTCCCTCCACTGTTTTCCAGGTACAAAAACTGCTCTGTATGTGTCCAGTGGATTTCCATGGGATTTTCCAGTTAGATGAACGTCGTAGAGATGCTGTAATTGCGTTGGGAATCTTTCTGATTGAATCTGATCTTCAGGTATTATTTTCCCTGCCTCATTTTAAATGTACATAACACAAAGATTTTGGAATAATTAAAATGTACTCATTCAGTGAAAGAAAATTGGTGTTTTCTATAGAGTTGAATTACCATAGTGTAAATCATGACCATGTTGTGCATATGCAAGTATCCGTGCTCTGAACAGTTGACTGATTACAAGGTCAGAGATAACAGATGGTTACAGGCAGGAGAGCACAAGTAAGAACAGTGCTGAGGACTGTATTAAATGGTGGTCATGGTGCTGTCACAGTCAAACTGCTGTCACTTTTTTTTTTTTTTTGGTCAACATCATAGCGAAGTAGAGCTTATTAAGAACAGAAAAGAAAGGTTAAATTATTTTTCAGAGGATTATGGGGGTCTGTGGCTAACAAACATGGTTGCTTGCAAATCTTAAAATACAGTTGCTGAATTGTCTCCCTGTCATTGAATTGAATATAGTAGTTAAGGGAGGGTAGTGATTTTTGTAAGGAAGTGTAAGGTATAGAAATTCCTTGCTTAGAGTATGTGTTTTCTGGTTATGGAAGTACAAGAGGTCCTTAAAAGTGTGGGCAGCGTTGACAATGTTTGTCCTTCTTCCACCTGCCTTTAAATAATAGTTAACACACACCTGCTCCTGAAAGTCAGATATGTAATGGCTTTTTTTTATCTAAAATAGAGAGACATGCACATAGGTTCTGTTGTGTTTGAACATCCCTTTTATAAAATTCATGAACTAGGAAGCTGTCAGCCTTTGTGTGGGCTGGTTCTGTTCCCTTTGAACTCTAATAGCTGTGTTGCTTCTTGCAGAAGCATGAAAGGATGTTTTTAGTCCTGGCTTCAAAGATCTGAATTAGTCCTGAATTTCCCTCTATATTGTGTAACTGTATTAATAGCCGTGACTGTATTAATGTTTCAGAGCATTTTGTTTTTGTGTCTGACATATTTTTAAACCAGCAGTTAGTATTGATTCAATCTAGTGAGAAAAAAAGTGCAGATGAGGAAACTGAGAAGTTAAATGGATGTTTTTTGTGGCTTGCCTTGCCTAGAGCCAGGGGTGGTTTTTGTATACTGAGTTGGGTCCTGGAACTTCTGATTTTCTAGCAACCTTGAAGTTATTTTGCGATACTGCTGTGTGTTTTGTTGTATACCAGTAAGAAATTAGAGGAAAAAGGATCCAGAATGCTACTTAACCTAAACTTTTATGGGGAATGAACTATTGCTTAAAATTACATGATTGGATTTATAACAATGAATTCAAGGATTGACCAATCTTTGCTGGTGTTGAAATCAGTTTTGCAGTATTTAGGCAGTCTGTAGAGTAATGATTAGTTGAACTGAATTCCCTTGTCTTTTCCATGTGTCTATTATACTTTGAGATTATATTGTTCTACTTCTCAATTTTAAATAAAATATTTTACTCTTCAGCACAAAGATAACGTGGTTCCTTACCTCCTTCGACTTCTGAAAGGTCTTCCCAAAGTCCAATGGATAGAAGAAAGCAATGCACGGAAAGGCAGAGGTAACACAAGCTTTTTTTAAAAAATTAACTGTTTTTTCTATTATTCTCATGCAGTACTAGCTAGGAAGTGGAAATTGTGGGGCTTGTTCAGGACATAGTACAAGGGGAGGTGGTTGGTCTTGTTATGTCCTGATTTTAATTTTAATACTTAGTTTTCCCTTGAGCCACTTAATTCCTTGCTCTCTTAAAATCTCTTAAGATGAGTGTAAGAATACTTCTGGTATCACATGGGATATTATACAGTTTGAATAGTTTAGTGTTTTTTTGAAAATTAGTTGAAAGCCTGAAAAGCTTTTTAACAATTTGAAATATTCCTTTAACACCTCATGCTTAAGTGATGATGAGAGTATAGTTTTAAATCTTATGCATGATATTTATCTACAGATAAATAATATTCCGTGTTAGGCAGTTCTTAGATTATGTAATTTTGTTATATTATTATTTTCTTTTTATAAGTTGGTGTTCTCAAACAGTGCTTAAGATGGCTAATTTTCCATCTGTTATTTTACAGGCTTGCTTCCAGTTGCAGAAAACTTCAGCTTCTGCTTGGTGACATTGTTGTCAGATGTCGCTTATAGGGATGCATCTCTTAGGGAGCAGGTAAAGGTTGCTCTAAATTTGGGTTGTTGTTGTATCCAGTTCTCTAATGCTGAAAGGCCGATAAATGTTTAGAGAAGAGACTAACCACATCTACATTTTTGTGCAAAAATTTGTATCTTTTTGCATAACTTTATTTGTGTTACTTAACACAAGTAGGTCACGTACTTAAAAGAATTCCTAAACCTACTTTTGCTTGTGACGGTCAAAGACTGTTAATCACTGAGCCCAGTGTTTTAAAATTAAAGTTTTGATATTAAAGTTAGGGCTGCTGCACATTTATTCTGCTAATTTGCATCACTTAGTGTAAATAATCTTCAGCTCTGTTAAAAATAAGAGCCGCGTGTTTTTTAAACATCTAGCATGAAAAATATCTGTTTAATGAGATCATTAAATTATTATTTGCAAGCTTTATTTGGGTAATTCTAATGAGCTAATATAAGGCAGTATTAACTCTACCTTTTCTTTTTTTTTAACCTCTGTCTTGACTGTTTTAGATTTTGGATGCAGTTCTGCAAGTAATGCAGTTTCTGTTGGGAATGTGCCAGACCCCTCAAATGCATGATAAAGGTACTGCTCAAATAAGGCTTTATATTTTTACTTCATCTTTAACACTTGGCCTCTGAACGTTTCTTACATCTTCTAATTGTCAGGATCGTTTTTGAAAAGTGAAAAGCTTTTTACTTTGACCAAGACTTTTATTAATGAATATTTTATTGTTGCTGACTAGTAAATGTAGAAGCTAGAAGTATATTAGTTTATGATACCTTTGTGCTTTTATCTCCCGTTTTTGCTGAACCACTCTTTGGTGAATTAATAGCAAAAAATTGCTACCAATGGAGATGAAGTTTTAAGTTACTGCTAAGATACCATTATGTCTATTTTTCTTTTCCAGAGTACTTATGCAAGTATGCAGTGCCCTGCCTGATAGGAATTTCACGAGCTTTTGGTCGCTACAGCAATTCAGAAGAGGCTCTTCTTTCAAAGCTTTTCCCTAAAATTTCCCCACATTCCCTTAGAGTTCCAGAAGAACTTGAGGGAATTAGACGAAGATCGTTTAATGATTTCAGATCAATTCTTCCCAGCTCTCTACTTACTGTCTGCCAAGAAGGAACATTGAAGAGAAAGGCCAGCAGTGTATCTAGCATCTCACAGGTCTGTAATACTTGCTCTATGATGAAGTTTGTGATTAAACGATTTTATGTTCTTGGTGGAATTAACACGGCCCTGAAATAGGGTGTGCAATATGGGAATTGTCATTCTAATGTTTCCTTTAATCACTGCCTAACTTCCTATTTTTGTTTAAAAGCAGGCTGTTAGACCCAGCAGTACACAGTTCCTGTTAGTTTTGCTGGAAGCTGTTTATCTTTATAAAATATGTGAAGATTTCTTGCCTGTTAGTTTTGCTGGAAGCTGTTTATAAAATATGTGAAGATTTCTTTGTGTTTTAATAAGTATATCTTGTGCAATGTTTCAGGTTAGTCCTGAACGTGGAATTCACCCTCCCAGCTCTCCTGGAGGATCTGCAATTCATTACTTTGAAGGTAAATTATTTTGTGAAGGAACAGTGATATTTTTGTTTGTTTGTTTTGTTATGACTTACAAAAAGTGGAGAATCAAAATCCCTTTGATCTTTCTCTGCCCTCTAGGATTCTTATAGTAATTCTCTAGCATGTGCTTGCTAGAATTCTGAAAAATTTTGAACTATGAAGACAATAGGAAGTTGTTATTGCTAACACAAGTGGTTTCCAGGCTCAGTTGTTTCTGGCAGTCCTTTTAGAGACATGATTTCCTGGTGCTAGGCTGTGCCTAGTACTGAGAGGCCAAAAATATTTCACAAGATTAGGCTGAGTAACTTCCAGAAATAGCTGTTAATATTGTGCTTCACTGGACAACTAAATTTGTAAACTAGGACATGCAATTTAAAAAGCTCTTTAACATGTGGTATAGGTACAAAACAACTAATCCATTCAGCATAAAATTGATATAGATCATTCTGTAAGATGTAGTAATTTGCTGAAGTGGAAAATGATACAGTAAGACACTGAGGCACAATATTCTCTAATGTTATATCAGTTACCCTTTCCAAAAAGGGAGAGGTTTGAAAACCTCTCCTGAGTTAATAAACGAACTCTTAACCATAGGCTTTTGTTAAATTCTTGCAGTGTTTGGTTTTGGGTTTTGGTTTGCCAACAGATTAGCTGAATTGAGCCTCCTCGTGGCTTGTAAGTTAAACTGCCTCTCTGTTGGAAATAAGTCTGAGTAGTGACTAAGCATTGCCATTAAGGAAAATTTATATATCCTTCCCTGTCTCCCCAAACTTTTATTTCTTGTTTTTATTTTATTTAATTTTATTTTTTTAAATCAGGTTCATACCTTCCTGATGGGAGTGCACTAGATCCTGATTACTATTTCTCTACAATCAGCTCTAGCTTTTCAGTTTCTCCTCTTTTCAATGGCATTAACAATAAAGAGTTTAATATCCCACTGGAAATGCTGCGCCAGCTGTTGCAAATGGTATGTGATGGGTTGCTGTGAAACTGCAGTGGGATTGGGTTTTCAATGTCCATGCTAGAATTAAATGCATTTTCTTTTCTGCATACAAAAGATTGTGTTTGATCTTTCAAGGTTAGTATAGTTTAGTGATTTCTATGATATTTAATGTTATGCTTCAATAGTCTTCCTCTGAAGCTCCTGTATGAAATATGAAAAAGTTTCAAAATCAAATACTGCTTTTGTCAAGTTTTTCCCGTTTGTCTTGCGGACCATTTGATCTCAGGTACCTTGTGTACTGTCAGTTGTTGAATAAGAGGATTGTTTTCCTCAGTGAGAATAAGATCCTGTTCTAGGTGTTGCTGGGAATTCATGCAAGTGGACAGAGGCTAGTGGCCCTGTCTGCTTTCTCTGCCAGCTGTTCTGCAACTGCATGCAGAAGCCCAAGTACAGTAACTTTTGTTGCACTTAGAAATTCTAGTAACCTTAATTTTTTTCTGACTTTTTTTTTCCTCTTGTGTAGGTAAAACAAATAGTCGGTGATTCTCTTCTAAAGAGCTTGGATGCAGTTGTAGCTGAAGTTGCAGAAGTATGTCTAAATTCCTTTTCTAATGACGTAAATACTTCTTTGTCTTAATACTTGGAAATACCTTTATTAGTCTTTTACCTATGTAAATAATATATTTTTTTCTAAAGAATAATCAGGACCTGTTTAATCTGTTCTTTCAATTTTTTAAATTTAGCTTTGGTGCTGTATAAAAATGGGAGACGGGGACATATTTTCCACTAACATTAAAAAAATAGTTTTTATCTCAATAAAACATTCCAAAAATGGCTCAAAACTTTTTTACTCTAGACATTAATCCTTGTTGCCTCTTCCTCTAATATTATTGTGCTCATACAAATAACATATATTCCTTCCTTTTTTTTTTTTTTTTCTGGCTTGGAAATCACTGGTACTGATGTATGTGCTCCTTCTGCAATTTTATTAGAGTCTGTGGATTTTTACTTGTAGAAGTGACATACTGCAGGTATCTGTGTTTTTGTAGGCCTATGAGTTATTGTTCTCACCTTCCCTAGCTCCGATAATATAACAGTTTTATCAAGTTACATCACATTTTATAAAGCTAGTCTTGTTTCACTGGAGGCATCACTTTGAATAAGTACATATTCAGTTGTGTGGGAAAACAACCTTGCTGCCCTTTCTACCCTTCCTTTGAGTACTGCCTTACTTGAAATGCAAACTTAAGTGAGAACAGCTGCACTTCTGCTTTTTACTGTTCCAATAAAATGAGGTTCGAATTCTCCTCTCTTTTTTTTTTTTAAACATCTGTCAGATGGCTCTGTACTCTTTGAATTGAAAAATTGCCTCAATCTTATTTAACAGACTAAGTGGTGATAGTGGGTTGTTTCTTTTCTCTTACAGATGGGTTCTACTACAGATCTCTATTATAAAACATTCAGTGACCCTCTTTATGTTGCTCAGTTTAAAATGCTAAGAGACACATTGTACTATATGAAAGGTAAGTGATTTTTTTTTTCCTTCTTTTGACTTTTTTGTGCATTATGCTTAGAATACAAAGCGTTTTCTGCCTTGCTTCAGATAAGGCCTAAACTTTATGAAATCAATTCATTCATAACAAAGCAATGGATTTTATATCTGCTGTCATTCTGATGCACTGACTCCCTTCCTCTAGCATAATGGTCTTTCCTTTTATTTCTTTAGACCTTCCCAACTCATTTGTGAAGGAAATCCATGATTTTGTGCTAGAACAGTTCAACATCAGTCAGTCAGAACTTCAGAAAATTCTTCATGATGTTGATCGACTGCACAATGAATTGAGTCCTTTAAAGCTGCGCTGTCAGGCTAATGCTGCCTGTGTGGATCTCATGGTGTGGGCTGTGAAAGATGAGCAAGGTGAAAAGCTCTTTTGTCTCCTTTGAATGGCTTAAACTTGTAGCGATACCTTTAAGTATTTTCATTGCTTGCGTCATAATATTTGTCATGGCTGTTCATTGCAGATATTAAGTTCCTAACACTCCTCCTCTCTCTCTCTCCAGAAAAAGTTCTAAAATCTTTGAGGAATTGTAGGATAAGGAGAGAGAATGATTAATTCTCCATGTATTTTAGGGATTATTTTATTAATTCCTAGGATAAAAATCCTAGGCGTTGTTATTTTAAGGATTCAAATAAGCATAGGGTTCTGGGCGGGCTAATAACAATTCTGATAAACATTAATTAATGGATTGAATTTTTGGAGTTCAGGTGCAGAAAACCTGTGCATCAAGCTGTCAGAAAAGCTGCAGTCGAAAACCTCTAGCAAAGTCATCATTGCTCACTTGCCACTGCTGATTTGCTGTTTGCAGGTCTGTCTTGACAGTATTTGACATTATTAGATCAGTGAATGGGATCTTTGGGGATTTTGCATGTTGCCAGAAGAGGTTTTCTTATTTCACTTACTAAAGTTACGGGTTTACATCAGTGTGTTCTACATCTCGATATTCAGAGGGCTGGCGTGGAAAGTAAATCTGCAATAGAGAAGTGTTTTGGAATTTTCTTAGCTCAGGTTGTTTTTGAAGAATAATATTGATGAGCTTTTTTAAACAATATTTCATTTCTGAAGTCATAAATTTACAATTGAAATAGAAGTTGTTCTTTTACTTCAAACCAAATGTTATATTCCTCTTTTTTTCTCCCATTTTAGGGACTAGGTCGTTTGTGTGAGCGCTTCCCTGTTGTGGTTCATTCTGTCAATCCATCTCTGAGAGACTTTCTTGTGATACCTTCCCCTGTACTTGTGAAACTTTACAAGTATCATAGCCAGTATCACACAGGTAAAGGAAGAAAAGGCAGTATTCCAAAGAATATGCTAATGATAAAGTTGCAGCTTATTTGTTTTTTTTCTGTTTTTAGATGCTTGTATATACATAGGGATGAGTTGTTGTGATTCAGCTTCCAAATCCTAAAACATATAAACCTTCTAAGGTTCATTTTGTGTTGGATATTAATTTTGGAAAAATGAGTAGCAATACTCATTGAATAGCAATTCCATTTTCATTTTTTGACTTCAGTTTGCCATGAAAGATGCTGTTCCTAACTTGACCGGCTTATAGAATCTACTACCTCTGTCTAAAAGGCAGAAGCATGTCATATGAAAAAGTTCTAAAAAATAAGTAGGTAATTATTGGTGATAATTCTGTTAATAACAGCCAATAGAACTTTCTGTGTATTTTCACTGGGAGTAAATGAGTATGTAGGACATAAAAATTCAGATACATTAAGAGTCTTCATCTTTTTAATCTAATCTTTATCACATTGTAACCTACATTTTAAAACAGAGCGAGGAAAACTAAACTCTTTTGCCTTTTGTATAGTAATGTGGAGTTGCACCAGAGTAAATATGTATAATGAGTCTAGAAGCAATGAGATAGCTGGTGTTACCTAGGGATATATTTGTGTACTGATTCTTTAGTCTAAAGTTGAAAAGCACTGTGCAGTAATACAGTTTTGGAGTATTTTACTTATAGAAAGAGAATTGCATATATGTTAGCTATGGTCAGTTACCTTTTTCTTTCAAATCATACTGCTTCATCAGATCTGCTAATGATAGAAAATGAGTAAAACAGATAAGAACAGATAAGATGAGAACTGGAGGTAACAATTTAGGAGTAAATAAATGCAGTGATACCTTGTGAGAGCAGTGACAACACATGAAGTTTCAAAGTTCTTCAGTACAGTTCTCTGAGCTGTGAGTTAGATTGCTTTGCAATTATTTACTGGGTATTACCCTGCCTACGTGCTTTTGCCTTAGGGTGAAACTGGGGGAGAAGGTACTTTTTAAAAGTGCTGATGTCTGTTCTCTGTGTTCTTAGTAGGTGGTAATGACATCAAAATTAGTGTAACCAGTGAGCATTCTGAGTCCACTGTTAATGTGATGCCTGGCAAGAAAAGTCAACCATCCATGTATGAACAACTTCGGGACATTGCCATAGACAACATCTGCAGGTAGGAGCTGTGTGATGGCAATGGGGAGGCTGTGATTTTGGAGCATGTGCTCTTGTTTCCCTGTCAGGAGAGCACAGTGACCATCTAGAAGGTGCTGCGTTGTGCTACAAAGCTTTTCTGCCTCTTGATTGTGACTTTGTTTTCCTTCAAATAATGCTTGACTTGTGTTTATGTCCTGATTGTAATATGCATGTCTGGCTGTGTTGTTTTGCTTCCCATGTACCTTGTTCATGCTAGTCACCATTTTAATAGCGGGATTTTTGTTTTTCCTCAGGTTATCATGTTGAGCTTCCTGTAGTAGGACTGGTATGCACTCCAATGTAGTCAGTGTAATGAGTATTCTACCCTTCCAGACAGCTGTTCAGAGCTGTGGGGAAGACAAATAATTGCTGACTAGAGATGAGGAGTTAAGGTTTCTAATACAGAGGATTCTAAAATTACATTTTTGCATATCCTCATCTTTACTGTTGCTGGAGAAAGCACCAGTAGAGATTCCTGACTGTAGTCTTTGGCAGCTGACACATTAAACTTGCTGAGCGTTATTTGCTCATCCTTCATCAGCCTACCTAGGCACTCTACTTTTGACTATATTTTCGTATAAACTTATCTCCTAAAGCTTACTGTGCATTCTTCTTTCTGCCATTTACAATAGTAAAAAACATAATGTTTAATTCTTGCATTTTCACTGGCCATTCCAGTAAGTTTTCCGTTCATTTTTCTTCCAGGTGCTTGAAAGCTGGTTTGACTATAGACCCAGTGATTGTCGAGGCCTTTCTTGCTAGTTTGTCTAACCGTCTCTACATCTCACAGGAGAGTGATAAGTAAGTTGTTAGACATGAAGTCAAATTTTCTTTCTCTTAGTGAACCCAAGCTCATTCTAGGGCATAAGGACTGGCAGCATTATTTTAGGGTGAAATGTCACTGAGAATAGTGAGCTTGTGCTTGAGGATAAAGAATTTCCCATGCAAATATTTGCACATCTGAGCTCTTATTTTGATACTGAGATGTATTCTGTCTGATAAAATCATCAAATCTGTGGTGAACCTAGCCCTGGTTTGAATGAGATTCTCTGCTGGGTCTTTCATACTTTTGTGGCTTGATATAGCTTGTTGTCGCTGTGGAGCCTGACCTGCTTCTGTTTGTAAGCTCTTACCGACCAACAAATTTCCAAGGGAAGATCCTAAAATAGCTTCTTTGATTGTCGTGTTACAATGTTTTCCAGATCACTTTTACCCCTTTCTACTGGTATTTCTAGAATAGTTGGTTTGCAGAGCAGTGTGGGTCTCCTCGTAGTGCGTTTGAGTTATTTTGCAAAGCAGACCTGTGCAAGTGCATCTCTAATGTTACTGTGTGAGGCAGGTGGGTGTGGGGAGGAGTGATAATAAAGTTGCTAGTGATATTTAAGTTTAGAATATGGATTGTTTCTTACATGTGGTGTGACTATACCTGCAGCTCTTGCTACTTTCTGTTAAGCAATCATGTGTATGGTTTTGGTTCATTTTGTTTGTTTTTTAATAGGGAAGCTCATTTGATTCCGGACCACACAATTCGTGCTTTAGGGCACATTGCAGTGGCACTTAGGGACACCCCAAAAGTGATGGAACCCATCCTGCAGATCTTACAGCAGAAATTCTGTCAGCCTCCTTCTCCTCTTGATGTACTCATCATTGACCAGCTGGGCTGCTTAGTTATCACTGGAAATGTAAGGAAAAAACTGTACAAGAAAGCCACAGTTCCTCTTTGGTGAAAGGGGAAAATTTATATTTTAGAAGCTCAATTTTCTTTTCTTTCTTCTATTTTCTTTTTTTTTCCTCTTGGTTCCTCTTAGTTCCCTCTGTATATATGCTTTTGTACAATGCTTTTGTCTCAGTGGCATCAGAAAAAAAACCTAATTCATAATGTGCAAAAATGCTGCCCCACAAAATTAATTCCTGTAAAAGCATCCAAGTTAAAAAATAAAACCCTCAGTGTTAATGTCTTCAGAAAGTATTTAATAATTTATAAGTTTGCCTATATCCAAAATAGATGGATATTACTTTTTTTAAATCAGTAAGTAAATTCCCAAGACTTACAGACCTGCCCCAAGTCATTAAAGATACAGATTGCCTTATTCAATGATGCAAGGATTAATTGACTGACTTTTTGCAGAAGTAGTTCATGCTTCAAAGTGAGTGATTAAGAACTAGTAGAACTGAGACCTCAAAAAAATATTCTATTGAGAAGACAGAGTTAAAAACTGGATATGTTTTGTCACATTTGAGCAATTAAAAACATTAATGGAAGTATTCCACTGTGTTGTTTATGGAAGCTGAAGCTATTGCTCGAGCTGTTAAGTGGACATCTATTTGAAGAGCATGATAATGTGTAAACTGTACTTTTACAGGATCATTCTGCAGAGATATTGTATTCAATAAGCTCTACTTTGTAATTTGTTTTCTTTCAGCAATATATTTACCAGGAAGTGTGGAATCTGTTTCAGCAGATCAGTGTTAAAGCAAGCTCTGTTGTTTACTCTGCCACGAAAGATTATAAGGATCATGGATACAGGTAATGCTTGGCTGTCCCTCTTAATTGTATGGATGCTATAGTAAATTTCCTTCATGCTAAGCTGTGGATTTTCATTTCTTTCAGTACATGTTTTACAATGAGGTTGCAAATAACATTTTTTTATATTGAAAATTAGCATATTGTTTTTAAAATAATAACAGATTTAAAAATAAGGCACAGATTCTTAAAAACCTTTTTCACCAAAAGTAGTGATTTTTTTTCTGTAAAGATATATAGTTGATGATGCTTACATGATAGTTGTCATGGATTTGTTATCTATAACTGTAGTAATTAATCTATTAGCCTATAAAACATAATGAAGCTTTTTTTTAAATGGTCCTAGTACTTTTTAAGAGTTAAACACAAACCGTAAAAAAATTAATCCTTGATATAGAAGTATGCATTCCAGTATATATTATAGTTAGATTCCTGTTACTACTAATAAGGCACTGAAAATATAACACTTCATACTGAGGGGCTGCTTGTTCATACCTTTCCTTTCTTCTCAGACACTGCTCCTTAGCAGTCATTAATGCCCTAGCTAACATAGCTGCTAACATTCAAGGAGAGCACCTCGTGGATGAGCTATTAATGAACTTGCTGGAATTGTTTGTTCAGCTTGGACTAGAAGGAAAGAGAGCTAGTGAGAGAGCAAGTGAAAAAGGACCAGCATTGAAGGTAAGATACTTGCAGATACTTAATTCCATGCAGCTTTGTATTGATGTAGATGGTCAGACAAACTTGCTCTGTGTGGTAGATTTAGCCTGGATTTGAGCTAGGAGGCAGTGTTTCTTTATTTTGAAGATTCTGATAGTTTTTCCTAGAACACTCTTTACTCAGCATAGAATAAGAGGTTAGAAAAGGTATTCTGAAGACTGGATTGATTCATCTTCAAGAAGAATTAAAGTAAGAAAGACCCTGCATAGACCCAGTTCCCATCTGTTTTGAAAATCAGTTTGGAATATTTGCAGTATTTGGAAACAAACAAAACCAATTTTATTTCTCCCTTTTTTGTTGTCAGAGTTGTCAGAACTCAGGTCTATAATTGGCTAGATATAGTTTAGTTGGCACAGGGAATAGGAATTTGATGCTTGAAATATATAGTAAATATTTCAGAAAAGCTTTTGTAGATGTTTTGATGAAGCTTCTCATTTTTTTTCCAGGCTTCAAGTAGTGCAGGGAACCTGGGTGTGCTTATTCCTGTTATTGCTGTGGTGAGTATCCAGTGTTTGTGTAGCTGCAAATAGAGGAATTTCTCTAATGTATTAAATATCAGTGCTATTGCAAAGGCAAATGGTTTGAATAAGGTTTTAGTATGGCGTATCTTTAAAAATAATTGGTCTTTTGTGTTTCAGAGTTAATTTGTTGCTAGTTGTGAATTCAAAAGATTCGTGAGCTAAATAATACCACAGAGGATATATTTCTGAATAGTGATTGGTTTGCAATGTAATAAGCAGCATATATCTGGAAAAAATGGCATGAGGAGAAAACTGGAAAACAAAAGTTAATGGAAACAGAGTTAAAAATAAATTCTAGGTTGGCAGCACAGTGAAGGGGAAAAAAAAAAGATGAATCATTGAAATGAGGAGGAAGGAAGGGGAGAAACTACTCTCTATCATTTGAAACTGGCATTGACTTTCGTGTTAAAAGCATTTTAGGAAATGTGTAAGGTTACTGATGGCCATTCCAGACTGATTTATTTTGATGTATGTCTGTCTTTTGATCTCAGTTGACAATATTTTCAGGGCAAAATTTTTTGAATTAATAAATAAAACTACTAATCCAGCGAGGAACTGGTGTGCAACTTTTTCTAGATTTCCAGGAGAAAATTTGGTATGTCCAAACTGGGTTTCAAAGTCGGCAGGACTGCTAAGATCTTGGAGCTTTTACAAAAAAACAAACCAACCATAAAAGATCCATAGACAAACTTACTGGAAGACAAAAAAACATCAGGTCATTTTCGCTCCTCTTGTATTTGAATTCTTTGGGATGTTTTCTTTACAGCTAGTAAGACAAAAAGGGAGTATGTGTTAAATACTTGCACTCAGCATGCCTATTTGTAGCTTATTGACATTGCACATCCTTTAACAATTAGGAAGATTCATTTACTTTGCACTCTGACCTCAAACTTTTGTACTGAATTTTTCAGAGAGTGTAGCTTAAAAATCTCACCTTTAATTTTGTAGTGCCAGTTAAAGATCAAAGTGCTGCTTCTTACCTTTCCCCATCCCTTCCATCAATGTCCAAGCATAAGCTCTGTGGCCCAGTGCTTGCAAGGGCCACATCCTAGCTCTAGCATCCTGGATCGCTGCTATTCCATAGCTATTCAGGCTGTGAATGAACCGCTTAGCCCTGTTCTGAGAGATACTGCGTAGTGGCAGCATTTCCCCTCTGTTAGGGAAGGCAGTGCTCACAACAGCACTGACTCCAGTGAAAGCCCAGCCAACACCTGCATATATATATATATATTTATATAAAAATGCTATTTGTTAGAGACTTGATGTAAGAAAATGCTTTTTTTGTTTAAATTTTTTGTTGATGTTATATTTGTTCGGAGTAGCTGGTACTAACTCCATTTTTCTTAACCAGTGTGACCTTTAAATGGAGTCAGTGCCAGAATCTGAAACTAGAGTTAATGGTTACATTATGGTGGTTGAAGCAAATATTTGACTTCTTTGCACAATGTATGAAGATCATGAGTTTTCAGCAGTAGCTGATTTGTTTTTCTGCTTGATGTCTTTCTCTTATATCTCCTGTTACCTATGTCTCAAAAATACTGAATTTCAGGTGTTCCAGCTTATTTAATCTTTGATAAACTAATCAAATTCATGAGCGTGAAGAATTAGTCTTTCGAATAGGGTTTATTTTTGAATATAGATAAAACAATAAAATGTGTATATGAATGTTAATGGTTCAGTACTGAATATAGTTTTTTTTACCTTACGATCTTAAGAGTAAGCACAGTGTAAGACAGGAGTAAAGTGAACATCCGAGTTTATTATTTGATATTTGCTCTTCACCATTCTGTTTGGGTGTTTCATTTGCTGTCAGGTTAAAAAAAGCTTTCTCTCTCTGGGGCAAATAATTGCAATAGCTGCAAAATGAAAAATGGTAGCAAGTAAAATCAAAATTAAACTCAGTATTGGAAAACAACTTTTAAAAATCTTTCTGATTCTTAAATAACTGTTGGTTGATAGCTCATTTTGCATATTTTTGGTAACATGAAACAAATTGAAAATATGAATACATTTAGTGTATGCAGTACAGATGGATGTAGTATTTGATGCTACAATTTGTTAAAAATTAGTAGATTGTTAGGCACATGTTTTAAAATGTGTGATGCAATAGAAGGTATGAGAAATTACTATGTTCATTCATTTTAATAACTTGTATGTAACTCTTTCTCTGTGCTCTAGAACCTAGATAGATATTCACTTTTTCAAATGTGAAATGAATGTGTTTGGCGTGCATAGTTACCCAAATGACTCGAAGCCTGTAGTCTTTAGGGTAAGCCTTGCAAGATTTTCCAAGATTTTGTATATGAACCCCTAACATGAGTTGAAGTTGCCAGAAATCACTTTTGGTAGAGAGGAATAGGTGATAGAGAACTGGTGAAATGAGCATTTATTCCATATAAAAGGTTTTTTGAGAGACTTTAATTTACCCGTTTGGTCTAACTCTGATATTGCTTGTACCAATGAAGAGCAGAGAACTGTATTGCAAACATTGTTCCTCTGTGATATTCACTGATTGGAAATCATTGAAGTTAAGCAGAGGATCCATGAGTCTCTCATTCCTGCAAGACATTTTATCTCCTTGTGTTTGGCCACTAGTCCATATAGATCTGCTGAGCGTTATGCAAGAATGTAGACAGCCATCATTTTTCAAGTTTGATTATGTAAAATACCCAGCAGAGGCTTAAAGCAGTCAGGTATTCAGGAATTCCTTATTTCTATTTCCTATAAAGAGACACCCTAGCACAAATTTAGAGCTAAACTTCAAGCATCCATATAGTCTAAATGTTTTATTGATTACATTTTATACACGGAAGTAGAACACAAAGTGTAAATTACTTTGTGATTTTTTTTTTTTTAATACACTTCTATCAGTACATGGCACTAACCATTCTAAATTGCAGTCAAATCACTTACTGCTACGAGTCCATTCTTATGTAACTATCTGCAGATAGAACATTTTGTTTTGATAGCAGTGGCGATTGTAATAAGTAATAGGACAATAAAGTTGCCTTTACGATATTGCTATATTAATGTGTAATCATACAGCCTGCATATAAAAACGTGCTGGAGATCTCCACTTTTAGGACTTGGCGGGATTGGCAACTCTACCCATGAACAGGAGGCAGCTGGTACGATGTTCATAGATCAGAAACAAAAAGGGACGGTCGACCGTAAAGCGAATCTGGGTAGAGAGAGGCATGAACCCCACGTTGGTTACTGCTACAGCCTCCGTGCCCTCCTCGTTCACAGTGATTGTGCCTTGGTGATTGAACTGTGGGGAGAGAAAGGAAACAAAAAAGAAATAAGGGTCTTCTCAGTGTACTCAAAATCATGGTCTCACAGCATTCCCTCTTCCCCGCCCTGCGTTTGGCTGCCTTGTGACAGTTTTGCTGGTTGCTCCTGTGCAGCCACAATCTTTTTGGTTTGGTTTTTGAAGAGGCCTGTTCCTGGCTGAGTGACCACAGTTCTTCTAACATTCAATTAAACATAATCCCCATTATATAATCAGAGTACAAGAAAATACAGACACACCCTTATGCCTCCTATGTTCTCCAGGAATGGCAGGGTGATACATTATTTTAACTTACTAAACTGTGAATTATTGTTACTCTGTTGCCTTGTTTTCAAGTGATATATTTTAATCAGTAAAGGAATGAAAACAGAAAAAGAGCAAGTACCCTGTTGATGGTGACTTTTTCATTTGATATACCGGAATAGTTGCCTTTTTCATTAAACAGTTCTTCTACTCCCATGGATCTCAGAAAACCAATCAAGTCATAGCTCTTCTCCAGCTTAAATTTAGGCAGAACTACTTCTCTTGTTCTAGCAAAAAATAAAAAAAAAATCATTGGGGAAAACACGTATTTGCATTATTCCTTTGGTTCATGTTTTCTAACACTTTCACAAAACAGGACTAGGGAATACACCATAATTTGTACTGTATTTTCACATTCAAAACTTGGGCAACATTAGTTTTAAGTCCCCTCCCCAGACTGTTAGTTTGTCAGTGTAACAGTGGCCATGCTTTAGTTGTCACTACAGGGTATAGGGCCCTGAGCATTTCAAGTGCATAGTTACAGGTGCCTGTAATAAGTGTTGAACTGTCAGATTTTTCAGGAGTATTGAATCTCAGATTTGTGATTTCTATGCAGTAGAAATCAGTTGTCTCCTCAAATCATCTCTTTTTATCTCTCTTAAAGTCAGAGGACAGACACTATCTAGTGTGACATCTTCCATAATAGAAGCCATATATATATTTTTCTCTTTCCCATAGTTGTAGTCTGCATAGTTAGTTCCTGAATGTACAACCTCACATTTCAGATGTGTTGATGTGCATATTGTTGATGCAAGCATAGGCTGCTTACCATATGGTACAGATTGTTCTGCAGAAATAACCTGTTGTCGTCATACTGGTATCTTTTTTTTTCTTTGCAAATTTTATCAGTAAGTTTTTTTTTTTTTTTTTAAATCCTCCTTATTAAATACTTAATAGCAGGACCAGTAGGACTTCGTTAGAAACTTCCACCTTCACCTCCTTTGATTTCTCATTGGTGTTCAGTGAGATGATGACCTCGCTGTTGATGCCCTCTTACTGGGAGATCTTTGGTCCTGATACTTAGTTCAGTATATCTATCTTTTTATTATTTTTGGTTAGAGCTAGTTAATGTTTTTTATTCAAAATACTCTCTGTTATCCTTTGTGCTATTTACTTGCCCATGCCAGTCTCATTAAGACAGTACATTAAGGCTAACTTTTCAGCATATACCTGTTAGTCATGCTGCTCTGCCATTTTTCAACCACTTGAGGGGTTATTTGCTTTTCCAGGGCTTTCATGCCCGAGAGCTTGTGTGGAAGTACGATGAGCATACTGATGTTCCCTACGAAGGGGAGCTGGATCACGCCGCAGTCTAGCTCGGGGTCTGCAGCAGCTAGGAAGTTCCCTTTAGTCTGCATCATGGGAACCTTGATGGTTTGCTTTTCATTCAGTCGGAAACTTCTCTTGAATGTCATTTCCACTGGAAACTTATTTTCCCATGTTCCTGTTAACAGAAGCAGAAGACAATTAAGCAAAAAGCCCAAAGAAGCTTGTTTTAAAAAAATATTTCCAGAATAAGAGCTTATGAATTTGAAAATACTGTAGTAGATTAATTTTTACTAGCCTAAATAAGGTGAATGTAGTGTTTGTATGATTTTAATGCTCTAAATTATTACATAAGTAGGTAAACACAGATTGGACATATGAATGGGCTTGTGTACTAGTTCTCTAGAGGGAATGTAGAAATTGGAGTTTAAACATGCAAAACATCTAGCAGATCTTTTATGTAACAACAACTGACAGATATTTTTAATGAGCATATGAGAGCTGAAATCGTTACTGAAATGTTCTGTTTGAAATGTGTTATTATTGCATCAAGCTAAGTAACATTTTCTTCCTTTTTTTCAACTGTTTTAAAAGATAAAATACTGAAGACTTTACCTTGACTTAGATCATTTGAGCAAATTAATGTTTCATGTTAAGACATCCTGAAGAGTTTTGGACGTTGACTACTTAGTTTTCTGAACGTCTTGATTTGATTTCCACATAACCTGAGAGAGTTTATCATCTAACAGATTATGCCCAAGGAATTAAAGCTCACTCCTTTTACAGGCCAGAAGGCTTTTCCATCAGGACTTGAATCATGCTATTTGGGGATTCATTGGAAATTATCTCAGATGTTTATGGACTATGTAAAAGGAGTGTTTTTTTTCCTTTTTCTTTTTTTTAATGTTGCTAAAACTTTCTACAAAACTGACTCTGGAAAAAACATTATTCCTTAATCAGTAGACAGAGTTAGAATTTTATAGTGGACATAAGGCTATTGGTATTTCCTGCTAGAACTCTGGATTTTAGATCACTGTTGGCAAGCAAATACATGGGGAATTTGGATGTGACTGTGTGAAGAAAGACAAATTTAATCTTAATTAGTTCCTTTTAAAAAATGATTGTAAGGGATTCTAAGATCCTTAATTGGACTGTGCCCAACTGACTGTAAGATAATGGAAAAAGAGGAAAAAAAAAAAAAGCCTCTGGTCTGATTTGCATTCTAACAGTTTCCTGATATGTCAGACTGAGAGGAAACAATTCAAGAAGTGATCAGACTGTAGTTACTACTTTAAAGGGAATGGAATATAAAATGAATTGTGCCATGCCTGAGCAAGTTGCCTTACCTATTAGGGAAAAACAATATCTGGCTGTTTTGCGGGGACCGAAATTCAGAAGTGTGAGGACTCCAGCTAGCTAATTGCCTGAAGGAGCTGTTGGCCACGGGAGGTTCATCAGCACTGTCGTCATCTAATGGGAGGAGTTTCTCAACGCTTATTAGTGACAGTGAGGCGCTGAGGAACTTCTCTTGGCTTTGGCAAGTGTTCATGTGCCTCGGGATAAAACACTGGTATCCAGCAGGTGTCCTGTGATCATCTGGGTTTAGCTGTAGCCAATTGTGCTTCACAAACTTTAGTGACTTTCTGTTTTGAATCTGCCTGGCATGATGTCTTTTGGATCCTTCCGCAATGGTAGAAGTTGTCTGCACTCATTGACTTAGCTTTTGTATTCAGGACTAGGATCTCTGAAGAGTAATTTTGGACCTGGGAATACTTGCCAGTTATTAGAAGTTGCCATGATCTACCATGACTAAAGTAACCATCTGATATGTGGTGATAGGAAGCTAATATACAAACATTTGGGAGATGAAGGAGGTGGATCTCAGCTGGAGATAGACTGGCCACTGTTGTATTTCAGTTGGAGAAAGACTGTTTCCTACCCAACACTGAACAGCTTCTAGTGCCTCTGCTATCCTATTTCTCACAAAATGGAGTCTTAGATCGTACAATATTTGGGAAGTGTGTCCTTGCTCAGTATCTTGTGTGGTTCTGGGCATCTGTGTAGCTAATCTCACTGCAGATTATTAATTTAAACATAAATAAATTGAAAATAAGGAATTATAATAGGAATATGTTGTACAGTCTTTATCCCTAGCCTCTTTAACTGTTCAATCTATAATGGAATATGTAGGAGCCCATGTTGGCAGCCTGTACTGAATTTACCAAAATATTTCAAGGTATGAATACGTTTGTTTTTAGTTTTAGTGGAGGACTGTTTTGATTAGTTCATTTAGTCCACTGAATTGGCCTGTTCACAAGAATCACATTCTGATCATATAATATTGCATGCTTAAAGCTGAAATTCTTTGAAGCTGATGATCTCTTTGAATCCTGGGTACTTCAGAAATGTTATGTACTTTAGTAGAAATCGACTAACACAGTTTCATTGAAGCTGATAACCTGAAAGAGGAGTAAATCTAACTAGTAACATAGACTCATATGTAAAAATAACATCTTCACTATCCAATGGACTTTTTCAAAGCTTGTTATCTGAGACTATTTTGTATTCTGTCTTTCTGTCTTTTGTAGTATAAGTTTTGATTGTAATACGTGTTCGCTGTTTCTATGCAGTACCCAGTGTAACTTCAGGGCACAACTGGAACATGAAAGTGCTTGAGAAACATGCAAAATATAGACTTAATGCAGATTCTTCTCAGCTTTTGAGCTGTAGACTAGAGCTAAGTTCAGTCTTGGATTTCTAATGAAGTATGCAGTTCACTGCAGCCTGAGATAAGCCACTGCTAAAAATTGAAATAAAAGATTTTTACCTTTAAAATAAAGACAGTTAAGAATCATCATCAGTGTTGTGGGGTTTACATTCACAAGGGCTTCCTTTATTAATCCTTTGGTCAGCTTCAAGATCCGTTCATTGGTTTTAGTTATGAAGTTAGGATCTGAAAAGTCAGCTGGTTGAGCATCAGCAAAGTAGTATGTTTTCATATTGTTTTTGAAATCATTCAGAATAGAGAAGTCCTTCTGAACATAAAGATCATTGACAGACCTCAGCGTATAACCGAAGTTGCGCCTGAAAAGCCGATGAGTGAGTTTGCGGAAGAGGTTGTGAACAGTCGTGAGCTCATACTTGGTGCTGGCATTAATGAAGTCTTCAAAGCCAAGCACAGATAATACTTCCTGGTGAGTGTGACCCTTCAGTCCCAGGGAAAGCATAGCCATTGCTGTGGAAATACCAACAGGAGCCATCAGAATATTATCTGAAGAGTTGGCTTTGTCTGCCACGCTTCGGTATAGGTTGAAGCCAAAGTTTGCGTTCAGGATATTAAGGCGCTGGATCCTAGTTTTTCCTTGGAAAAGTTCAAGAATATTTCCTTGCTGAATTTCAGAAATCATGTATGGACCAGCATCAATAATGTCACCATAGTCATCTTCACCCAGTATTTTTTCAAAATCTAAGTAGTCCTCTTCTTCCTCCTCTTCAGGAATCAGATCATTAGTAATAGTGTTTTCTTTGTGGAACTCCACAGGAAGGTTTTGCATATCATAGGTCCCATTGTCATGTTGATGTGCATCTTTAAGGCTTTCAAAATGCTCACTGAAGTCCTTGATTCCACAAAAGGTGGAGGTTATAAAGAGAGCAAGGGCAAATAAATGAAATAGGAGCCTCATCCTGGGAGATTAAAAGCTGGAAGAAAGCATAACATAGTTGAGAAGGTGTATGGTAATTACACTTCACAGTTGCCCATTTCCTAAGTGAGAATTTCACGTTTATTTTGAATTCTGTCAAATGGTAAATTTTGTAGTTATCTTATTTGACAGTGCTTTATTGGTACAGAACTTAATTAGTTTTTCTGCTAAAACATTTTTGCTTATGCAATGTCTCAAGTCTGCCAAATGATCTGTTGACCTCTTGCCGAAGGAGAAGTAGTTACTGACAGTCAAGCAGCAACAAACAGTTTACTTAGATATCTAGGACTGTTGATTTAGAAACCAGTAACACTTTAAAATGTATACTGACTGTGCAACTAGTGTATATTGATGAGTAGACATGAAGATAGCTTCAAGGGTTTGAGCTTGGGAGGGGGAGGGACCAGGAATTCGTTAAAGATGCATATCGGAAAGCTGGGATACGTAGAATAATTTGAAAAATATATTTTGCCTCGCTCCAGAAAATAGTGGAGCTCATGAGAAAGCTGCAATTGGGTGGAGTAAATGAGATCCTGGCATGTAGCAACAAGCCTGGAGGAAAATGTGCTTTTTTACTTAGGGGCCTTGGTGGCGCTGGCGGCCCCGCGTGGCCTGGGTGCTGCTCCTGTGCCGGCTTCTGTCGTCCGTGCTGTCCCGTGAACGCGCTCCCGGCTCCGCGCGGTGTCTGCCCGCGTTCCCTCTCTGTAGGGCTGCTCGGGGTTAATGTTGCTCTTATGCTAGACTTCTAACCCCAGTTATTTTGTTTGAGAATGGAAAAAAGGTTCTACTTAATGACAAAGAAAAACATCGTCTGTTTGTCTCTTGAGTATTGGGCAGTAGCATTCTGTGATTTTTGAAGCCAAGAACTACGCCTTAGATGTGTGTTATGTGAAGAGGATGAATCAGTCCTCCTAGAACACTGGAGCCAGAGCAAGTCTGAGAGACTTTTCACTGTAATCATGGATTGCAATAATCAGTGGCCTTAAAAAGATACAAAAAGTGCAATTCCTTCATATGATAATCAAAGAAAGACCAAAACATTTAAATGTAATAATTCTGTATCTAATTGAAACTGTAAAATGGTTGTCTGACTGCCAGACTTCTGATTTCTGACAAATTGCTTTTTTAGAAAGATACGTGATGCCTTCATAAACTCAGTTTCTGCAATAGTATTTATTCTGAGTAAAAAAGCAAACAGTATAATCTACAGTATGATCTAGGAAAAAACATTGAATACTCTCAATACAAAAATCTAATTAAAAGCATTGATATAAATGGTTTGAAAACGAGCAAAGTGTGTGAAGAGCTGTGTTAAAGGCATGAAATGCATAGATACATTTGCCTGTGAATAAAGTCAACATGGAAGGACAAATACTTCCAAACATGCTGTGGCAGGACTGAAGTAATGAAGCAAAAAACTTAATCTATTAATTTTACCCCATTGAACCTGCAATCTTAAAACCATTTAAGGTGATTATTCCGTATCATATGTATATATATGTTTGCGTGTGGGTATATATATGTGTATATGTGTGTATGTGTGTGTGCATATATATTTTTTTTTTTGTAATGAAGAATCACTAGCAGCTGTCTTTTAGAGGGAAAAGGACTTTAGAAGTCCTTCATTGTGCCTGAAGGGCTTCAATATTTTTCTTGCATCTTTATAAATTGATTTTTTGTCTTTCCCCACCCTCAGAAATAAAGCCCTCAGGACTAAGCAACTCTGGGCAGTAACTCTTGATGAGTGAGTGTTTTCTGCTTTGCCCTGCAGCATTTTCTCTACTTCCCAAGTTTACATTCTCATATTCAAAAAAGTTTGTTGTTAGTTGCATTTATATAGGCAAAACATTCCCTCCCGCCGACACACCACTGCAATATTTGTCTTTGTGTCAGATCTAATTAAAATAAAGAAGCTTACCTTGAAGCCACTGTACGGAAAGGATGTGTTGAATAGCTCATGTAAGAGGAATGGAAGAGTTTAAGGTTGAACTTTGACGCTCGTTTTTGTGTATCTCCAAAGCAAACATGCTCGAAACCAAACACTAACTCGCTTTGTCAGCCAAAATCCCTCTCTTGCATAGTGATCTGTGTTCAATTGTATGTTGTTTATTGAGCAACTTCTATGGCTTTGCAGGTACTTGCTTGCTTTTGAAAAACAAAAAAAAAGCCCCCAAAACAAAAAAAAAATTGCCTTTGAGCAAAAATTGGTGTGCATGTAATGTTTCAAAGTCAAGCTTCATTTAAGCTTCAATTAATCATATTCAATCAAATTGGATAAAGCTCTCTGAGTCTTTTATTTTACTTTTTAAACACAGCATGTGCTTCTAACACTTTTAGAACCGCTGTGTTAGAATTTTTAAATAAATTTATATAAAATTACATATCATATTGACTGGGAGTAGAAAATCTGCTCTGGTGCTAGTGGCTGTTTGTATAAAAAGTGTCATCTTTAAATGTGTTAAAAAAATTATGTTCTCTTACTTGCCAGTTTAGACAGTAAATTCTCTGGAACTGATGTCATTGTGTGCGTGGGTGCAAAGAATAAATGATCCCCAAATGGTGCCTCAACATATTTCTGCAAAGCCAATAAACAATAGCAACCAAAAATGCTTAGACTAATATTTCTTTTTGGTTTTGAGTTCATTTGTATGGGAACAAAGCTGCATGGTATTGTCTTCAGCTCACAGCTTAAAGGATGCAGTGATCTCTTCCTCTGCACAGTTTTGTATGCTGATACTATGTCCTCTTTAGAGGTTACGGCGTCAAAATGGTATATTCCTGGGAAGTCATAGTAAATTAAGTTACTGATTCATTAGCATTGAATTAAGTTACTCTATACTCCCAGCATCTTAAGGTTTTAATTTTTATTTCTTTATGCTAGCTTACTAGGCGCTTGCCACCCATCAAGGAGGCCAAGCCCAGGCTGCAAAAGCTCTTCCGTGACTTCTGGCTATATTCAGTGCTGATGGGATTTGCTGTGGAAGGATCAGGTATCAATTCTAGTCAGAATTCAATTCAAGCAGGTGTCAGTTTTAGTAGAACAGCATTGGTACCCAGGTTTAAACTCTTTAGTGGAACTATGAAAATCATTCAGTAGGCTGAAGGAAGGTTGTAGACATAAACAAAGCATAAAACAAGCTGTTTGCAAGACAGTTTTCTGGCAGATGTCATTACAACCTGATCCTGTTGCCATGGGATTCAGCACATTGTCATGTGTTCTTGTACTTGGGCTTTTTGTTGTTTGTTTTGTTTTGTTTGTTGTTTGTTGCTCAGCTCTGGTTAACCATGATTTGCCACTTTTAATAGCTGAGTTTGTGAAAGGGAAGATCAAACACATGGGGAGGGGTAATATAAAAACAAGGTGGAAACTTGTCCATTGAGAAGTTTCACTCGGAGTTACCCACGCACGTTTGTTAGGTTCGGAACAAAGTCCTGTTGTGCTGGGTGTTTGTGCACAGGTACATGAAAAGTTGGTCCCTAGAAGTACTGCAAAGGTTGATGCTGCTGATTCCCTTTGTGAATCTGTTAGATTTGTTAGAGGGTGGGGAAGAATGCGGTTTAATGGTGATAATTGTTTTATATGGTTCTCTGAGCTGTGTCAGCCTAGAACATTCTCCCTCACCCCCCACCCTCCTCTTTGCCCTCGTGCTCCAGGTTTGTGGCCGGAGGAATGGTACGAAGGTGTATGTGAAATTGCCACCAAATCTCCGTTACTCACGTTTCCCAGCAAAGAACCTCTTCGATCTGTTCTTCAGTACAATTCTGCCATGAAAAATGACACTGTGACTTCTGTAAGAATTGGTTTGTTTTATTGTATCCTTCCATAATGTCCTCCAGATATCAAAATATTATTAATAATGAAGAAATACTTCTCTAGAATAAAACAATATCGTTTTTACCTGCCTCCTGTTAATGAATAGCAGGTTTTTTTTATCTACACTACTTTAATGCCAGCAGTATATGCTTTCATTGAGTGTGCTTTCATTGAGTGTGATAATAAACATGATTGATGTGGTAGCTATGCTAGTTTGGTTAAGTATGGAAGCTCCATAGTTCCCTCTCCACACAAGCTTGGTTTTCCCTTGATGTTTCAGAAGTTAGACAGCAAATGCTTTCAAAATGGAAACTATTCTAGCCCTCCCACTCTGAATAACTGAATCTCTTCACCTTTAGGCTGAATTAAATGAATTACGGAGTACCATAATAAATCTCTTGGATCCTCCTCCAGAAGTGTCAGCATTGATCAATAAGTTGGACTTTGCCATGTCTACCTATCTACTTTCGGTCTACCGTCTGGAGTATATGAGGTATATGTGTACTTTTTTTGTTTGTTTGTTAGGTGTTTGATTTGGAAGATTTTGTTTTGCTTTTAATTTTTAAATGTTCAAATCAGAATTGCCAGAAGCTAGGTTAAATGAGAATCCATATTTTGGGTCAAATTAGTTCCATGGAAGGCTCTGACACTAGGAATTCAGTTGTGTCAGAGTTCTTGTAGGGTCAATAAAGGAGTGAAATGTAATAGCTGGACCTAAAAAATATGAGTTCCTCTGTACAGGAACTAGTTGAAGATGATCATGAGGGCCCTGGAAAGGTCAGTCTTGAAAGCACAGAGGTGAGGTCTTGTGCTTTTGCCTTGGAAGAATAGCAGAGATGCTCTTCTGTGCTATGAAAGTATAGTAACGGAAGAGCAGAGAGAATTATTTCTTTCTGCTTTTAATGTGCTTTTGTTGCCTTCACTAGCAATTTAGTTGGTACTGATTTAATTTACTAAATTCACAGTTGTTTTTTTTTTCTTTACAAGTTTATTGATACAGTTATTCCAAAAAAAATCTGTAGATGAAAGCTGAGGGTCTGATAGTGGGGGAAGTAGGAAGAAAATTCTGCATCTCATATTTACTTTGAGAATAACTGAACAACAAGGACAAACATTTTCTGCAAATTTTGACTGAATTTTAAAACATTTTTAAATAAATATTTCCATCTTGTACGAATATAGCACATGAACCTGCTTATTGCAATGCAAGAAATTGTACCATATTTGTGTTGGTGGTGATTCTGTAAGGGCATCATCAGTTTTCCTTCTCCTGTGGTGTGCCAGTTGTTTTCTTGGTCTCAAACCAGATCTTCATCATTTGAGTCCTGTTAGTTGAAAGAAATGGCAGTATCAGACTTTTTGGAGAATTGAAGTTAATGTGAAATCAGTCATTGCTGTTTGGGTTGGTATTTATTGTGGTGTTAAAACTACTCTGGTTTTGTGTTGAAGGTGTTTGTTTAAAAAAAAAAGGGGGGGGCAAAAAGAAAATTAACCAACTTCTTCCCCCTGCTCCCCCAAACCATAAAACTGTTTTCCTTCTAGGGTGTTGCGTTCAACTGACCAAGATCGCTTCCAAGTCATGTTCTGCTATTTTGAGGATAAAGCAATTCAAAAAGACAAGTCGGGTAAGATTATCTATCTAGGTTATGTTGCAACTTGGGATGCTAGAAAACGTGCTCTGCAGGCATGCAAAAATGAAACAGATCAAACTGAACTGAGTACCTAAGTGCATCACATTCAGTAGTTTGCCGTTATTTTATTTTTGCTAGAGAAATTTGATTGTATTTTGAAATAGTTTTGTTCAATGCGGATTGAGTAAGCGTAAACACCTTTTAAACATTCAAGAAAATGTAATTCTGATAGCCAGACCTTGACTCCTCTTGATTTTTCAGGCATGATGCAGTGTGTGATAGCTGTTGCTGATAAGGTGTTTGAAGCTTTCCTGACGATGATGGCTGATAAAGTAAGTTACTCAGAAACATGGAAAAAAAAGGCATGTAAGAGGAGAAACACATTTTTCATAAACTTAATGAGAACATTTTTACAACCTTTAATTCTCTCTATATATTTTTTAATATTTCTAGCCTAAAACCAAGGAGAACGAAGAAGAGCTGGAGAGACATGCTCAATTCTTACTGGTGAATTTTAACCACATTCACAAGAGGATAAGGAGAGTTGCAGACAAATACTTGTCTGGCCTTGTAGATAAGTGAGTATAGATTTCACTTCTTGGTTGCTTTTTTTCACACTTACTACTTAGAGAATATTCATGGAAGTGAGGAAGGCAGGCATGTGTCTGTAGCAGCACAGCTGGTAACTCTGTTGGACCATCTCCTTGAAAAATGTCATCCAGCAATGTTTTTAACATGTCTCTGAGACCTCTGATTATATTATTCCCACATTTCTTTATATTTTCTTTATATTATTCCCACAGATGGTGGAAGGCAAAATACTCAAAAAAGGCAAAATATGCTTTATGTCATCATACTGCACACAAAACACTGTCTCTGCTGGACAATAGGCAGTATAATGTTCTGCTTGCATGGCAGAGTGAAGCTTAAAAAAAAAGTGCAGAATATTAATGCTAAATTAAAGCAGCACTGTGTTTGGTTTTTTTTTTCTTTTCCTTTTCCTTCTCTGCTATCTGGAGCCTGAGGTGTCTAACCTGAAGTTTTACCCTTACTTGGTTTTTCTCTCGGGTACCTCCCCTTAACCTTGCTCTTGGAGAGCTTTGGATACCTGTTTGAGTCAGTGTGTTGGGAGCTATGGGGAGCTTAGTGCCTTTTGTTGTATATGAGTTTGCCTAGTAATGTATATAGGGGGCTCTCTGAGCAACTCCATTTCTTGGTTAAAAACATTTCTTTCATCAGCTCCCCATAGTCTCCACTGTATCTGTGGTTCTTGTTTTGCTCTAGATTTCCGCACTTGCTGTGGAGTGGAACTGTGCTGAAGACCATGCTAGATATTCTGCAGACGCTGTCACTCTCTCTCAGTGCAGTAAGTTCCTTTTTTTTTTTGTGATGCTATGATGCTTATAAAATATATCTTCTCACCTTTTCTTAGAACAGATTTTTTTCCTTTGTTCTGCAGTTATATAAGATTTACTTCTTTGAATTCTTGGTTTGTTTGTGTCACAGAAGGAGAACCTTCATCATTCAAATTTATATAATCTTAATTTTAATAATAATGATTAAGTCTCAGTGTGCTTTTGTGGGGTTCACATCTCTATTTTACAGATAATAAAAGCAGTGCTTAAAGTTATCAAATGAAGTTCAAAATTCAAGTTTAGTGTTTAAAAATAAAATAAAAGATTGCTAATTCCAGATTATAAACATTAAATTGTCCTATTTGAAGCGAAAGTTTGGGTTTTTTTAATAATAATGGTTGTCAGGTTATATTCTTTCTGATGTATGTATGTGTATCCATATTCCTTGGACTTTCAAAATACTTCGTACTAATGTTTTTGAAGATGGAAATGTTTTGTAGAAGTTTATTTTAGTACTGAGCATTGGAGAGAGACTTTAGATTAAAAAAAAATCTATACTGAAAACCAAACTGATCTCTTACAACTGTTCAGATTGATGTTGACAGACATATGTTAGCAAAGTGGTTTGTAAATCAGCCTTCCTGTTTTCTGGGAGTGCCACTTGTTTTGTTCAAGGTAAGTGATGATGAACTGAGACTCGACGTTGCCTTTATTTAGGACATTCACAAGGACCAACCATACTATGACATTCCAGATGCTCCATACAGAATCACTGTCCCTGACACGCATGAAGCCAGAGAGGTAGGTAGTCCTCCTTGATACCTCAGAGAACAAGGCAATGCATGACCTCTGGGTCTGGGAGATAAATTGTTCTGAGCAGCTCTGAAAGGTCTTTTTCTGAACATGTGTCCTTAGGTAATATTTGCTAGTATAAAATGGCAACTGAGCATTTATATTTTTCTGAATTTTGGCATGGCGCATGACAGTTCTTTGCCTACCAAAGGCATTTCATCGTTAAGGGAACTTTTAACCGTATCAAGTTGCTGAAATCTGTCTTAGTTCATATAATTATGCTTATTACACCATTAAAAACAGTGCTTTCTGTTAAATATCCAATACTTTACTGACTGTACTGATGCGTTTTTGTTTAGAGTATAGTGAAGGATTTTGCTGCACGCTGTGGAATGATTCTGCAAGAAGCAATGAAATGGGCTCCCTCTGTTACAAAATCTCATCTACAGGTAATGAGCCTGCATCTGAGGGGAAAAAAAAATCATTTTTACCAATCTCCAAAATTATGAACTAGCATGTACATACATATATACTAGTACATGCTGACTTTTTTCAGGATAACCAAACATCATTTTAAGTCTCCTAAAATACTCTATGTAAACAAAATCAAGCACAGATCTCTCTGCTAATCCACTGCTGAGAGGCTAGAAAAAATATTCTGAGTTAGATTAGTGTTCTCTCTAGAAGAGCTTGTGTCACGGCTGATCACTGTTTCCAGAAAGACTCAAGAACAGACTCGGGTGCTGCAAACCTGCCTGGCTTTTGTATTTCTTTGCCAAGAAAAACAAGGGACTCCCCTTTGTGAAAAAGTATAACCAATTATATTCCCATCTTCCAGGGAAGCCAAAGCGCTTCCTTTTGTAAAGTATTTTTTGTAAAGGGTGTCTTGCTTTGAAGAAGGCATAGGCTTTCAGATTCCTTACATTTTACAAATGGAATGAATCTTCCTTTTTGTGTATTTAGGATGATGTTCAGAGTTTCCTAATGCCAAGGGAACAATGCTTAAAAGGGAAGCATAGAGACAATGTTTTTTGTTGCATATAATTGAGTTTTCTAATAGTTCACAAATATGTACCACTTGCTTTGTGCTGCCCTTCCTAGAAAAATGCAGTAGTTTTCCAACAAACATAATTGTTTCTCTCAGGAATACTTAAACAAACATCAGAACTGGGTGTCAGGTTTGTCCCAGCACACAGGACTGGCCATGGCTACAGAAAGTATTCTGCACTTCGCAGGCTACAACAGACAGAACACTACTTTGGGCGTGAGTATTAGTCATGACTCCTGCTTGTTTGTTTGTGTAGCTATATATATCATAGTAATTTAATAACATTCAGCATAGCCATGGATTTAGCCGTGGATGTATGGATTTTTCAAATCATTTTGTCATAGTACTTGAGCATTTACTCTGAAGAATACCTTCCTTCCTTCTTAAATCAACTTACTCCCAATCATGATAATGTTCTAAAACACCACCCTGAGATACCAGCGGTGATGGCAAATAAGAAAGCAAAACTGTGGCTGCTTCACCAGCCAAGATTCTGTATACTATTTTGTCATCTTCTCTGCTTTCTTCTTCATGAAAGGAGAACAACAGTCCTGAGATCTTTTTATGCCTTTTCTAATGCCTCTTTTTTTTCTTGATCTCAGACTGTATTCATGGAATTGTGTGTCCCTTATTTGTTTTTTATTGGTCCTGGTACTGTTGGATCTAATAGTTCTGATACTCTTCTGATGATAAGCCCAAGGAAGACTAGACATTTGAAGGTGTAAATAGAAAACAAAACAAAACTATGTCTTTGGATAGGTACAGTGTAAATAGCTGTGTGTGATCTGATCATAGGCAACCCAGCTAACAGAAAGACCTACTTGTGTGAAGAAAGACTACTCCAACTTCATGGCTTCTCTTAACTTGCGCAACCGCTATGCAGGAGAGGTAAGTACAGGATTTCTCCCAAATGTGCAGTGCCTACCAAATGCTGTATGGCTTTACAGGTGGTGATATCGCTTCCAGCTTTAATTAGTATATGGTTATATGTTTGTTTAAGCATGGCTTTGTAGGTAAACCTAAGGAGCTTTAGCAGTAGTAATGGAATATATCTCTGTTTAAGGGGGATCTCCTTACTCAGCATACAGCTGATCCCACACTGGCCTGCTGAAAATACTGCTGTCAGTTGAAAAATGAATTGTATTTTACAGGTTTCTGGAATGATTCAGTTCTCAAATGCTACAGGACGAACATCTGACCTGAATAAACTGATGGTTAAAGAACTGAATGATGCTCTTGAACTGGGCCAGACTGAATTCTATACTCAGGCCATGTTTAAGTTGACTGCACTGCTAATAAGCAGCAAAGGTAATAAAAAACAAATGGAGTTCTACTTTATGGCTGTGAATGCCAAGAGTAGTAAACAATAAAAAAAAAACCCTATATACAATCCCAGTAAAACATCGATCTGAAGCAAAACTGTTTCGTTTTGTTTTTCAGTTGCATTTATTTTAGGAAAAGCCTCTCAAACTAAAAACAGTTTATTAGGAATTGATTACCAGATACTTTTCACATCAGCATGATATTGATTTGTAAAGCGTTTCTTTCTTATTCTGTTGGTGAAATCTGTGTGAATGTTTGTTTTCAGACTGCGATCCCCAGCTCCTCCATCATCTGTGCTGGGGACCCCTGCGAATGTTCAATGAACATGGCATGGAAACAGCAATTGCTTGCTGGGAGTGGCTGCTTGCTGCCAAGAATGGGATTGAAGTGCCGGTAGGAAGTTATTTAGCAATTCTTTCTCAACCCCAGCAAGACAGGGAGAGAGAAAAATACGAAAAGTCACAGTTTTTGTGAACCTATTTCAAATAAGGATATTAAATGTGGTATTAATCAGTTATGCAGAGGTCTCCTGGAGGCTAGTGTTTTGATGGTAATCTGAATTCCCTCATTAAGTGCATGATGTAGCAAAGGAAAGTTGGAGAACTGGTTTTGCTGTGTAGGTACCTAAGCTGCTCATGAATTGGCTCCTGAACTGCTGCTATTTATGTAATAGTATTTTAAAATAAATGGAAATCAATGCCCCTGCTCATCAGTTACAGCCTCTAGTATCTCGCATTACTTCCTTGCACTAAAATTAGTCTTGCAAATGGCCTAATCCTATGTCATGTTAGACTCAACAGTATTCTGTGAAGAGGGGGCAAATCCAGTAATAGTAAAGCAACTCACCCACACAGATGGAAAAAGCTGCCTTTGGAAATAGCTCCAATGAGGGAGCACTGGGTGTTTTGCTTGCTGGGAATAATGATCAATCTGAATTTATGTAGGTCATTTCCACAAGCACACTGCAGTGGCTTATTAAAAAACAGTTTCATGTTTTCCCTCTTAGGCTTATGGAAAACATCTTTGTACCAGAGCAGGGTCAACAAAAGTGAATGTGGCAGCTTTTCTTGTGCCGTTCATCATTTGCAAGCCCTAATGAGCTGGATTGTCCTTCAGTGCATGAGGAAATGGCTGCCAAGATTTTGGAGGCCTTATCTCTCAGTAGAGGGGCAAAAAGGAGAGTGGTGGGTGATTAACAGTTCCTTCTCCTTAGCAAAACTTCTAATTTAACATGTTAAAGGAACACTTCAGGAGAGGTGTATAGACTTGTTTCTACCTCTCCAATAACATTGCAATGTTTTTTAATTGATGTATTCAGATTCTCATGTGCCCTTTGGAGAAAGACTGTGCAGCACACACAAGCAGATGCTCTTGAAATGGAAAACTTTTTTTTTTTTTTTTTTGTAGTTCATGCGGGAAATGGCAGGAGCCTGGCAAATGACAGTGGAGCAGAAAGTTGGCCTGTTTTCTGCTGAGCAGAAAGAAGCAGATCCATTAGCAGCCTCAGAAGAGAGCCAGCCGAGGCCTTGCCCGCCAGAGGTTACCCCGCATTACATCTGGATAGACGTACGTTTCTGTCTCCTGGGATGCTGCTGCACCTATGAGGATGTTGCAGTGACACTATAATTAAACTGCCTGCACTGTTTGGTCTCATAATTCTGGAAAGGTAGTGCAGGTTGTGGCTGTAATGTCTCTGCCTTAAAACCAGGAGCTATGATCTTTTTAAAGGAACATAATAATTGGGTAGAAAAAGGTGTCTGAAATGAAAAAGACCATTGTTTGTTTTTGGTTTTTTGGCTTTGTTTTTTAAGAAGAAAAGTAAATCAAAGGAGGTAAGGCATATCTATCTCTTTTTCTCAGTTTCTGGTGCAGAGATTTGAAATAGCCAAGTACTGCAGCTCTGACCAAATAGAGATCTTCTCCAGCCTACTGCAGCGGTCCCTGTCCTTGAACATTGGAGGAGCAAAAGGCAGTTTGAATCGACATGTGGCAGCTATTGGACCGCGTTTTAAGTGAGTGGGAGTTTTCCTTCTTTGTGGGAGGAAATAAGGTTGTTGTCGGAGGAGAGGTTAGAACTAATCCCCAGATGTGTAACTTGTCATTGGCCTCACATGGTGAAAAATCTTTTAAAAGCATGGAATGATTTGGAGTCTGTGATCTGTTTTCAAAGTAGGGCTAGCTAAATTAGCTTGAGAGCTATTTTTGCTGCTTTGTAAAACTAGTGCATCAGGGAAAGTTTTGCTACATCAATTATTTTCACTTTTTGCCATGTAAAAACTTCAAGTTTCTATTGTTCTGTAGCCACAGTTTTAGGAACAGACTAATAATAAAACATTGAATGATGGTTAAAAGAATGGTTAAAAAGACATTTTTCTCTTTGTATGACTTGGAGTTATAGCTATTAATAGGGTTGATATGGTATCGCATTGGTCATCGTAATGGAAATAGAAAAAATATCATGGTCTAAATATTTTTTTATATTAGGTTGCTGACTCTGGGGTTGTCTTTGCTGCATGCTGATGTGGTTCCAAACGCAACTATTCGAAATGTGTTGAGAGAAAAAATTTATTCAACTGCTTTTGATTATTTCAGGTATTCTTTTTATTTGTAATTACTCACAGAAAGTTTGTGTGTGCAACTTGCTAAATCATTATAAGAGAAAAACAATTATTGCTTTACAATATCATAAAAGGTTTAAGTTCTTCCTCTCTTTTTTCACCTGTTAAAGCAACCTTCTTTCTCTTGTGCCTCAATATAGTTAATGAATCATCTTGATAAGGGTTGGATATAAGCTGCAGATTTTTATGTGGCTTAATCTAGTATCTTGAGGGCAGTTTGTATTCTTTTCTTTCTCTCGTTATTCTGGACATTATACAATACTGAAAGCCGTATCTAGATTTGTAAGACTTAAAAGAATTGCTGCTGCAGAAATGTGTTAAAATGTGTTTTCACACAGCTTTGAAAATATATTCTTGCAGAATCTGACAGTAAATGTACTTCTGACGTTTGTCATGGGTGCAATAGAAAATCAGGTACTTGACAGTGGTGCCTGACAGTGTGAAGAGGTCATAATTTTAGGTTCCATGTGAATCGAAGATGCTGACAGCCTGCTGTCTTAATCTTCAGTTGTAATAGGAAGGTTTTATTCAGTTGGACAAAATAAAGGAATGAGGATAAAATGATAGTGGTGCCATAGACTGCTTGTCCTCATAGCTTCTGGTCAGAAGGAAAAAGAAATGATTTGATTGGATTTGTTTTGCGGGATTCTGTTTGTTTTGCCTTCAAGTTCACATGT